AACTCCCAGAATTCCCCAGCCAGCATGGAATTCTGGGAGTTGAAGTCCACACATCTTCAAGGGGCCAAGGCTGAGAAACACTGATGCAAGGGAACCATTTTTTTTCAAGCTGAACTCGACTTCATGGGTTTGTTGGTCATTTCCTTGGAAATAATATATGGACACGGTTTGCCATTGTTTTTCTGGGGCATTCCAGCCCCCGTCTAGTCTGCTAACTTGGGATTTCCTAGTGGTCTCCCATCCATGCATCAGGTTTGACCCTGTTTAATTTAGCCAATGTCAGCCAAGACCAGCTAAGTGCTGCCACCTAGCGAAGCATTTGTCCTTGGGTCTGAAATGAGCCTTGCTAATTTCACTGGCTAATTCAGATCTCCTTCAACAAAAGCTGGCGACCTCGTGGCCACAACGGAGAAGGGAAAGTTGCTTCGTTCTTCCGGGATGTTTCCTGACATTCCAGCCTAGCTTACGGCCCTCTGAGATTCGCTGATACTCTCCCATCCTAGAATTAGCCAAATCTAACCTTGCTTACATTTTTGAGATGATCCAAGGTTGGCTAGCTGCTGTCCCTTAGCGGGGCAAAAATTAGCCCCAGCATGATTTTTTTAAAAGAAGCTCCACCCCACCGCACAGCTGGAAATCCTAATCCGTTCTGGGCTGCTATTCCCTTTGGGTCTTCCACCCCCTTACTGAAGTTCTTGGCTCCTCCAAAAAGCATGAACGGTGGCCCTTGGATCCAGTCCAAATGCTCCAAAGCCGCTGCGATCTGATCAGAATTCGCACTTCGCTCTGAACGGGTGGTCCCGGTTGGCAAGTTGAGTCGACGGGTCTGTGCACGGACCAACGTCTGTGCGTGGATTCAGGAGCCCCTGATCCAGTGTCGACACGTCAAATCAACTGATTTTTTTAAAAAAAATTATATATAATGTTTATTAAGTTTCAGAAAGCAGTAAAATACAAAAAGATCAAAAGGAGAGAGAAAAATATAACAAAAGAGGAAAAAATACCAAAAAGGAAAAGTAACTTCCGACTGTCTTTGGTCCAGGTGTGGGTATAAAATAAATTCACCTGGTATCCAATATTTGAAAATTCACATCCTAAAAACTATCCTTTACTAACAGTGTTTTAAAAAACTACAAAGTAAGTCTTTATCAGCATCCCATCCAATTTAAATCCAGCAATTCAAAGTTCCTGTTCTGGTCTGATCGCCCTCAAACCCAATTTTTCAAAGCAGTGCATAAACCAAAGAGTTGCCATTTTGGGAATCCGGTCCTGGATCATCTAAGAATAAACGGCAGCTGTCGGACTGCCCAGGAGACAGCGGGGAACCAGTTCAACAAAGAATAATGCAAGCAAGTGGCTGAGAGATTAAATTCACCCCTTGGCTCTTGCGGGGAGGGGCACCGCTTTTTCCTGCTCCTAGCAAACTTGGACGGTTTGGGAGAGCAGGAGCAAACTGAGACAGCAAATTCTTGCAGTGTGCTTTAAAGGGCAAGCGAGAGAGAGAGAGAGAGAGAGAGATCCCTGCCCCAAAGCGCTTACAGAGCGGGAAGCAGGAGGGGAAGAGCTGAGTACATGAAGGGCATGGAAGAATTAAGGGAACTGGGTATGTTTAGCCCAGTGTTGCTCAACCTTGGCAGCTGGAAGATGTGTGGACTTCAACTCCCCGAAATTCCCCAGTCCTCAAACTGTCTTGGGGGTGTTTGGTGTGTTAAGTCCACACTTATT